CCCCAAAACCCCAAAACCCCAAAACCCCATATCTATGCCTCAAATTTGAAAGATCGCAAAAAATTTAATTCTAAAAAAATGGGCAATCTAACAGGAGCCTGTACAGGTAACTCTTCTAAAACCTCATTTTTTAGGATCCGAAAGACAAAAAGACCAAGACGTTTCTTCTATAGATCAATCTAAGGTAAAGCCTCCTTCCCACCCCTCCACACCCATCCTACATCTTTTCATCCTTTAGTGAAGTTCTAGAATATGAAATTTCTTCTCCCCAAATTCACTAAATTCTCCTTCCTTTACCTATTGGCCAAGTCCAAATCCTGAACTCGTCCAAGCTCTAGGCAAGCCTAGAGCTTGGACTTAGAGGTTCAGCCCTTGTTCTAGAAATTTAAAGTAGGGATTATAGGAGTTTGGGAGCCGAGAAGTTTGGAAATGAGGGTGGATCTTGGCAGGTTGTGATGACTGGAAATTTAGAAACTTTGTTCAGATTTGGATTTTTTCATTGGGGCTTTGGGTTTTTAAGTAAAATGTGGAATTATTGGGAAGAAATGCGGGTTTAGGGTTATTAGAGAAAACTATTTCACTTTAGATGGCCAAATAATTTTTAACTTTGAACGAAGTTACTAAAAAGCTAAATCACAGAGCATCCAAACTTCCCTTTCGGAAAATAATATTGCAGCTCTAAGTAGAGTAAGACTTAGTAGATCCTTAATCTTTTCCTGGCCACTTACTAGTGATCTTTCAGATAGCCCTAAATAGCTATAGAAACATCTGAAACTTGTCAGAATACATATCTTTGTATATACAGTTTTGCTAATTCTTCAACTCCTAGTGATGTTAGATTTCATCACTTTGAGAGCTATTAACCCTAGTGTTGCAGCTTTTAAGCATATAGACCATCACAATTGAAACTTGTGAAGAAAATCCCTGTCCAAGTTTCACTGAAGAGACTAAGACAAATACTGGGAATTATAACCCAAGCAGGAACAAAAGGAGGACTCTGAAGAAGATACAGCAGACAGAGTTCCCTAGGGATCAGGAAGAGGATAAGTCGTTTTGTAGTGTAGGTTTTGGAGGTGATGGTATAGTTTGTGGTGAAAGGAATTGAATGAGCCAGAATGTTCGAGAATGGAGTTAAGAATTGATTTTAGAGGATAAGGTTTGCAAGTGGGCCATTGTTGGTGAGGAATTGGGGTTTTGGGGTTTTGGGGTTTTGGGG